CTTTGGCCACTACAAAAAAAAAACCACAAAAAAACCCCCAAAACCTACAATCCTGCCATCTAGTCATTCCAGTTAGATTGCATCTACTGGATAATTAAGAAGCGTGTGCAATGCATGCTGCCATATTCTTAGAGTCTGTCCCCGCTTTCACTAGCCACTTGCTTGGCATCATCTGTACTAAGTGCCTCCTGAGAGGATGTTGAAAACTCAAGCACTGCTCAAAGTAGTAAGCTCAAATCTTGGTGTAAGATCTTCTGGTTTAAGACTATCTAAGCAGAAGCATGCTCAACTTTATATATTGGTGGGATAGGGCAATATAAACACCCACATACTGATTCTTGTCCTCTGCAGTACCAGAGTACATCAGAATTTAACTGTGCTGAAGCAACAGGAATAACATTACTGTAAAAATAACCTGAATAAGACAAAAAGCCCTGGGTAATTCTCAGCTGTGGAGTCTCAGGGTGATCATATAGGTTGATGAAAAGAAGCAACTCCATCCCAAATGCCACCAACTTCTCCTTGCAAATACAGCATGAGGTGAAAATATGACACCATACCATTAGATAATATTTTAAGTAAAGTGGGTACCTCAACAATTTCATTAGCCATGAAAAACAGATTCCTTAAGGAGCAGCAAAACTCCACCAGTCAACCTCAATATTGAAAGATTCTTTGCTTTAGATATGAACCCAGTTCTCAGCAGAGAGAAGAGGCTGGCTCCACTGAAAACACATGAAGGGCTGCCATCGCCCACACTGATTCTGCAATATCAATCAGGTGTCAATCAGCAGGACTTCGTTAGCTGCATATATATATCTCTGCATATATACTTCTTTTAGGGTTGCTGGCATTTGTCTGTGAATTGCTACTTGGTTGAAAGGCTGGCTGAGCTGTTAATTTAGTTTGTAACTGAGTATTTGATGATGTACTCAAGGGAGAGCACTCAGACACTTCATCAGGTAAGGATTTATTAGGAAGATAGGGCTGTGAAAGCCACCCACGTGTTAGCACCATCTAGGACAACACCCTTGCACCCATGAATTAATGTGGCTGTGTAGCGGCACAGCCCCTGCCCTACATTCTTCTAATTGTAAAGACAGCAAATTAATTCATTCACAGAAGCCTACTTTAAAATGTTCCAGACATAAAATGCTAAAGAGACCCTCTGCATCTTTATGATGATTTAGTGAAGTTCTGGTCGTCTGGAGCTAGTTGCAAGAGTGGGTGAGGCTGCTGAGAAGCTCCTTCCTCCCAGCCCCTGGGCAGGGCGGGTGGGCATGGAGCTGGGAAGCAGGAGGGAGCTGGAAAGGGAGCTGTTGAGTCACCCTTAGCAGTGAGTGTTTCTGTGGGCACTGCTACAGACTCGCACCACCGGTGATGGAACGCATGCATGGGGAGCAAACAGACCCCGTCCCTACCTACAAAAGGTTGTAAGTGTCAGGCACAAACTTTTCCACTACTTAAGCTGATGGGGATGCCAGCTCCAGTGAAAAACACAAACACACAAGCAGAAAAAAATCATTACCCTACTCCAAACTTGGCAGAGCACAGCCATCAACTTTTACATGAGCTAACAAAAGAAACATCCTAACATTACCGTCATGAAAATGTAGCGCGCACACAGAATTAACTTCAATATGTTTAATTTGGATTCAAGTTACTTGCATAAAACTGTGCATAAAAAACTTTGCAAAGTCAAATCCAAATGCTTTCCCTTTCAGCTGAGCTCACAGCGATGGATTTACAGTGAAAGCAGCTTTTCAAAACGCCATCTAGCCCTTTCACAGAATCGAACCTTTTCATAAATAAAAATAAAAATCACTTCCAAATTACACCCTTTCCAGTATTTCCAGTTGATTGTGGACACACACACACCCTACAATAAAACCCAAAGATAATCAGTTTCTCATGTCTCAGAGAATGAGCTACTTTTCTTAAAGACTACAAGCAACATTTTTTTCCTAAATACCAGTGAATAAAAACTGTTTGAGACCATAAGCCATTAACAGAAAACATATGCAGGCTCCAAAATTATAGATTCAATTCATCTTTGAAATGAATGCAAGATACTGTTCTGCAGTTACAGGTCCCCACTAAAGGTCTTGCTATTTATCTTGTGATGTTCTTTGCGGTACCTACATTGCACTCAGAAGTGCAAGGTGCTGCACTGTCTGTGCTGTTTCATGTATTTGATTCTGATACTTTATACATGTATGTGCTTAATATCAACTACATGCCAAGTCCCATGGCAGCCAGGGGGACTTAGAGAAGACACTCAGGTCCTTGTGCTGCACTGGGGCTGTGGGTTGTTCACTGGGACGCTCCCGCCCACAAAGTCAATGTGACCACTCGCACGTGTAATTTTATTTAAATATGTAGCAACTATGCTGAATCAGTGCCTCACTGAAACTGCTGGCAATAGCCCAGGACATGTCCTCTGAGGAGGAAAAGTCAGGACGTGGTGGTTTAATAAGCAGGGCAGGTTGGTACCCTTTGCAGGCACTACCTGAGAAGCAGCAAGAGCGCTGTGCATTCCCAAAAGATTTCAGGGCATTATTTTCCCCTGGGACCAGTCACAAAAAACAGTGGGACTTCCCAACTTTCCCCACAGAGCTTCTCTTATTTTAAAATGCAAGTGTCTGTAAAGACTGGAAGGGCTGCACGAAGGTGCTTCCCTGCAAGGGAAGCTGTGCTGAAGGGCTGCATCCCGAGGAAGCCTGAGGAGACGTGCTGAGAGAGGCACCCAGACTGCTACCTGTTTTTGAAGGCACAAAACATGTTTATACAATGACATATTTGCAACAGCCAGTGTTGTTTGGGACATTGGTCTTACTAAAACTGCCTTTCCCAGGCCCTTTCCTTGGAGCACCAGGAAGGAGGATGGGAGAATCGGGTCCCATTTGCCAGCGTCACCACAGGTAACGTTGGGAGGGGGGCAAGACAATGACCTCAGCTCTATTTATGCCCCTGGTACAAATGTCTGGCCAGCTCAGGCCCTCAGCTCTTCATATTTCTTCTGTTAATCATTTGGCAACTTTCAAAGTGCTGTCTGGAAGGTGTTTACTTCTGTGCAACACTAGAAAAACAGAGCTAGGCAGAATAATCTTTTCATTGGGGACCTTCATTTTTCTACATTTTGTTTTGGTCACAAGAGAAACCAAAGTACAGAACATTTTTTTGCAGAATGTAAAGTTCCAGAACCTTTATCTGGCATTAACTATAACACTTTTTAATATTTCCAAGAAAAACAAAATATTTTGTTTCAAAATAGTATCACTTCACATGCCCTTCTGTAACACCAAAGCATCATTTCTAAAATGGTATTTTTAAAACAAATACAAAAAAATTACATAACATTTATATTTTTCTGTAGCAAAAGAGATTTTAGTTGAAGTCTGAAACTTCACTGCTAAAAAAATGCAGTGAAGGACTTTAGACCAGTTCTAATAAAGGCAATGAAGTGTACATGATTGATAACATGAACGGACTTAAAGTCCAGAGAAGAATTATAATAAAAAAGAATAATTACATATTCTTACACATATAAACATTTTTTTAAATGAACAGCTGGCAGCCAACTACAACCAGAACCAAAAGAGTCTGGTAGCCTAGCTCAGATAACATTTTAAGACTCTTTGGCGTGAGTGTATTACATTTGCTGCATGTTCTCAGAACGGTCGTTGGACTGAGGAAAAACTAAATATTACACCTCCAACTGCAGGCACGGACCTTGCAGCTCCTTGCTGAAGGTGATGTGGCCACATCCTCCACCTGCTGAAATGGCCTAACGGTTATGAGTCTTAATGAACTGCTCTCCTTCTTTGCATAATATCAAGGCAAATCAGTGTTAACATCTGACATGTTTCATTGTGCTGCTCCTGCGGTTTGGGATAACAGCTACAGCTGTTAGTGGGAGGCTCTGCAATCCCAAACTCATTGAAGCCAATGGGAATTTTGCCACTGACTTCAAAGCTAAGGTCTCTATCGATAAATTTTAAGGATTTATGAGCAAAAACCTTAATGACTTTCAAGGGAAGCAATGTTCTTTTGAAACCTTCATCTTTTCTCAGAATATACATTGTTAAAATCTTATCACCTTCCATACAAAGGATGGTAGGTACCAACTTCAGCACACGGTAGCAAAAAGGAAAAGTTTTTCATTGTGTGCTGTGTGTGTCAGTGTGTTCCTGTGTTCCTG